CGTAGAGAGTCCACTTGGCCTGCATAATTTATTAGAAAATAGCGAACGAGTTTCCTCGTCTTCTCTATCTTCTCTGTCCTCCTTCACCTTCTCCCCTCCCCTCCCCGTCTCTCACTCCTTTCTATGGATCTTCTCACGCGCATGCATGCATGATCTCTACGTTAGAATAATTCAATGTTCTAAATAAAACTCGTGGAATTCGCGTGCACGCGGTTGTTGTTAGGTCAGTGTTGAGGACGATGGGGAATTCACGATCGGGTGAACGTACCCTTAAGCCCTGCGCATACAACGCGATTAACCCGTCTGTATCGTTTTCTTCCATTAGTAAGGGATCCCGAATCGGGCGGGTAAACTGTTTTTTATTGGCCGTTGTATATTGGAATATTGGTGACGAGGCATTGTACTCTTGATTCTCAACAGTTGATATATTTTTAATGACCACCGTTTAAGTTCGATACGAGATATGTAACATTGGATCTAGTGATTTTTGTTAATAATTGAGCTGGTGATAAGTTAGTAATATTCTTTCCAGAAACTAATCTCAAATCTTTCGCGTCTCGGAAAATTTCGGTGTCTCGTTATTGCTTTTTTTCCAATTGTAATCAATTTAGAAGATCAAGTTAGACTTCTGTTTCAAAGCAAATCTAAAAATTAAAAGGCTCGGTGAAACACGTGTTGCAAATTAGAAGGAAGAAAAGTGAAGGATTTTATATTTGTGTGTGTGTGTGTGTATGTATGTGTGATTATTGAGAAAATTAACATTATATTTTATTGAGATAAAAGTATAATTATATACCTGTTTATTTTCATGACATCGCTTTAATTACAATCAATCATTACGTAAAATACAATATTAATTCATATTAATATTAATTAAAATGTTAATTAATGTTAAATAATATAATTTTATTCAGAAAAACACGATACTATACTATAAGGAAACAACAATAAACGTACGTAATGATGGTATGCAAAAATCGGAATTGATGTATGACTGTTTTCTACTCCAAGATCTTCAACTGCTAGGGATATTTCGATATATTTACTGGAACAGTTGGCAAGCCACCACTATATTCGTCCATTTATCATTCTCCCCTTTCATCTTTTCTTTCTCCTTAACCTCAAATCGTTTTCAATAAAAATAATTCTCGTCAAAATTATCATTTTCACATTGATCTCTTTTTTAATTCTTTTTCTCAATATTTAATTGTTTAATTTTTATTCAAAATTTTATAAAAAAGAAAAATCAGATGGATTATTGAAGTTTAATCGTAATTATTGCTCGAAATTAGATTCTTTACAATACGAATCGATTAGGGAAGGCCAGAAAGGCCACTTTCCGAGAAACATTTTGAAAATAAATCGCGTCTAACACTCGTCGACTAACTCCGTGCAACGTGACAAATTGTTCCTGATATACTTCGAGTGCCTCCCTTCGGGACTGTTATCGAATTTCGACCGGGATGCCTTGAAAGCGACGGAAGCTGAATCGGGAACTTTGAGAAAAATTTCGGGAACGATATAATTCTGACGAGAAATGGAGAGTGAACAGCTTCTCGTTTCAAGAAGAGTGATCGATTTAAGAAGGAATCACTTGCATATCACTTCTATTATTAAAATTATGGAAAAGATATTCGTGAGATTTTATTTCAATTTCAAGGTTACAAAAAAAAGTAAAATATTGTCATAATTATAATAATTACTACGAAATATTTTTTATTAAAAGGAAATATTATTATAAAGATATGAAATATAAGTTGAAAAGATAAATTTTTTATTTTTTTTGTCTATAGATAAATTTTTTATTTTATTTTTTTCTACGAAAAACTTGATACTTTGATGATATTTTTAACTATTGTTTTTACGATTAAAATAAAATGTGATTTAACTGAAGTACGTACATATACTTACGTATCAGGTAAATAAAAAATTTATTACATTTTCAAATTAATTCTTCGTTATTTTTATTACATGCATTTTTAACCGTTTGATAAAAAATTTATTTTTCTTTTAGACGGATAAAAATAAATGAAAATTATTTGATATGGAAATTAGAAGTTTCAAATATTTTTTTTTTTTTTTTTTTTTTTTTTTTATATTTTAATTCACTTTAATTTAAAAATGAACAAGAAAATATTTCCAGCTACATTTCGTTATATTTATAAATGGAAAGAAATATTACTTTCGAAATGGAAATATATGAAATTAACATTTACCATTTTATAAAAAGGGAATAAAACGGGGAAACGGTCTTCTTCAATTCCTCTGAATTTGAATTTTTTTTATTAAATAAAAAATATTTGCGCGTATAAAACGAAACAATAATTTATATTCGTTAAATCTCAAAAAGCAGAGAAAATTTTTTTAAAAAATTAATAAGATAATAATCAGAATGAAAAAAAATATTTAATATTAATAATTCTAATTGACATCATAGAATCTTTAAATTAAATAATAATTAAATAAGCGATTCCAAACATTTTCATAAAGTATAAAACATTACACGGAAAAACAAGAAAACGAACAAAAAATCACGATTATTTATTTAAATTGGCATTATTTACATACAGAAAACAAGTTTTAAGTTTTTAAATTACTTTAAAAAAATCTTTGATCATAAATATATTTATACGTATCTATACGTATATCTATAACGAGAAATAAAAGAAAAATACACAGAATATAATTATTGGTTGAATTTAAATACAGATTGATTTATTTTCTTATACATGCCGCGTA